CTAAAGCCCAAAAACCTGAACAAGATAAGAATTCACTGAAAAAGGTCAGCTTATCAGGCAGAAAAGCTGCTGAAGATACAGACAAAAGGAAAAACAGTAAGTTTGTCTTTACTCTTTCACACCTGCTGATATACATGTACACTAAATATATATATATAAATATATATATATAATATATATATATATATATATATATATATACATGTCACTCCTTTCCTTAAACTTTGTCTTTTCTTGCAGAATGCAAAACTAGGAAGAGATGCAGAAAATTGGCAGGAGTTTGTCAGTCCAAGAAAATGGCATGCGTCGGCGGCAAGAAGTTGAAAGGCACGAAGTTATGTAACAAGAAAAAGTGTCGCTGCTGCGCCCCTAAATGTGAGTCTTTTCTTTGCAAACGGACCTAAAAGGAATCAATTTAACATTAGCCATCACAAATGTTTGAATCAAATGCAGATGTTGCTCATGTCAGCAGAATAACATGTGATACACAAGATGTTTTATAGGTCAAAGTCTGTCATCCAAGCAGCACATTAACAAATACTTTATATGAACCACACCAACATACGCCTTTACACACTCTTATGCATGAGCACCAGATGCAACTCAAGTATGTGCCCTGTGTGTACACGTGCGTACTTAATCCTACTCCTAGAAATACATAGGTGTGTACCGGAAAAAAAAACTAGTTTCTTCTTTCTCCAGCATCACTATGCAAGGAAAAGAAATGGTGCAAGAAACGGGGCGGAAAATGCCAATTCAAGTGGGAATCCTGCGACGGAAAGACAAGGGCTAAGGGATGCAGAGGAAGCAGCGTCTGCGTCTGTTGTATTCGTGAGTCTCTGTCCATTTCCAAATGTCTGGATCAATGCTAAGACTGTTTCGAAATCTCTAATTTCAACAGGATTTGAGCTGAAATATGGGAGATACATCTTCTGGAAGCAAATATATGTTGATGTGTTGATGTTTATATGTACATAATAGGTTGCCACATCATAACTTTGCAAATTTAATCACACAAATACGTTCTTTTCACAGCCGAAATCTCACCAAACCCGGCTCCTACTCCCGCACCAACTCCAGCACCAACTCCTGCTCCAACTCCAGCACCAACTCCTGCTCCCACTCCTGCACCAACAGGTCCCACTCCCGCACCAAGTCCTGCACCAACTGGACCCACTCCCGCACCAACGTCCCACTCCGGCACCACTCCCCACCAACTGGTCCCACTCCCGCACCAAGTCCTGCACCAACTGGTCCCACTCCCGCACCAAGTCCTGCACCAACTGGACCCACCTCACCAACTCCTGCACCAACTGTGCACCAACTTCTCCACCAACTGGTCCCACTCCCGCACCAAGTCCTGCTCCCACCCACTGCTGGTCCAACTGCTCCCACTGCTGGCCCCACTGCTGGTCCAACTGCAGGTCCCACTTCTCTGGTCCCACTTCCCAACTTCAGGTCCCACTTCTGGCCCAACTGCAGGCCCCAGTCCAACTGCAGGTCCCACTTCTGGTCCAACTGCAGGTCCCACTTCTCCAACTGCAGGTCCCACTTCTGGCCCAACTGCAGGTCCCACTTCTGGCCCAACTGCTGCTGCCCCACTGCTACCTCAACCGCTGGCCCCACTGCTACCTCAACCGCTGGCCCCACTGCTACCTCAACCGCTGGCCCCACTGCTACCTCAACCGCTGGCCCCACTGCTACCTCAACTGCTGGTCCTACTGACAGTTCTAGTAGCTCTTCTGAATGATTCATATAAATCTGAAATGCATCTTTGCCAAGACTATAAACGGCTCTCTCCCTTCTCATTCATCCACTTGTATGAAGGACTGTACAAGGCAAATGGCCTCCATAGGGAACTATTTGCTTGCGAAGAATGTTGATGTTAGTCAATAAATATTGCAAACTGTAGTGCAGATATTTATATTAACCATTTATTTCTTAGTAATAACTTTTTTTTAATTTCTCTATAGAATAGGTATTCATGAATGGTTAATGGTTAACAAGTAAAATAAATGTGCCAGACATCTAAGGTCATATAGCACTATATGATTTGGAGGATGATGGATATTGGTAGTTGATGGAGTTGAGGGGAATAGGCTGTGTTGGGAGGAGTAGGAGGAAGGAAGTAGGGGAATATGAGGAGAAGAATGGATATCGGTAGTAGACGGAGTTGAGGGGATAGGTTGTGCTGGGAAGGAGTAGGAGGAAGGGTGTATGGGGAATATGAATAGGAGGAGGATGGATATCGGCAGTCACTTCGAGTGTGGAGGGAGCATGAATTGTGAAATTTTGTGTCTCGAGCATATACCTTTGAATATTTTCCATAGTTTCTCCAGTGGAGTTGGTTGGAGAGTCTTGTGAGACAAAGGTTTTCTGATGAGGAGGGGAAGAGGAGACTGGAGTCTGAGGAATAAAGGTAAAGATAAGTGGAGGTGAGTGCGTGTAAGAAGGGGTGGAACGTTAAGTCTGTCTGCTGCAGGTAGTGCGGGAAGGGAGAGGGGATGGTGTTGGGGCTGTAGTTGAGATTGGAGCTGTAGTGAGTAGGGTGTCTGGATTTAGAGTGGCAAAAGAATTTGACTTGGAGAAGTAGAGGTAGAAGTGGAAGTAGGGAAGTAAGTAGGTATAGGGGAGGGTGTAGGAACATCCTGGGTTGGAGGGGAGGGGCAGAGGGAGCGACATTACTAGAGAGAAACCTTGTTGACGTGCTTCCTGTCTGGCTTCACGTAGAGTGAGACCAAGTTTGTATCTGAGTGTTGCTACCACAGACTCAAACTTGTAGGTGGAGCAGCCTCTATAAAATACATTATGGGGGCCGCCGCAGTTAGCACATGTACGTGTACGTGCAGAGCAGTCTGATCGGTTATGATCGGGTTGAGCACATTGGGGGTATCTGTCTGTGGAACGGCAGTTTGGCAGGATGTCCAAAGCGCCAACAGTTTTGACACCGACGGGGAGGAGGTTGATATGGTCGAACAGGGAGCGATTGTCCACCAATGTAGATATGAAAGGGAAGGTCATGTGTACGGAAAGTAATTTTGGCAATATTGGTGGGTTTCTTTCGATGACCTCTAGGAGGAATGGAGTAGCACTGTACTGATATCACATCGCGGTCTTTGAGGCAGCCGAGTAAGTACTCTCCACAATAAGACCAATCGAAATCCATAGAGCAGCTTGCTAGGGAGTACCATACACAGTTCCGGTACAAGTGTTAAGAGTTGGATGGGGTTTTGAGGGAATGGGGTTGCCAGAGAGATCAGTTAGATTTGATAATGCTATTGCTTCAGTTTCAGATGTAACTGTAACGAGACGGGAACGATCGGATCGGGTACGAAAAGGAACTCTGCCCACTTGCTTTTGGAGACATTGTTGAAAGAGAAGAGTGTTGCTTGAGTAAGGACCTGTAGGGGGAATCACGAAAAATTGGCCCCATTTGTCTGGGCTAAATAGAGTAAGATATTTGTAGAGTTGGGGTGGTTGAAGGATGGGGACGTGTGGAAGACTTGAGTATTGTTGAGGGAGGTAGTATTACAGAGATGGAGAATAAGGCTAAGGTAGTAATAAGGGAAGATGAGGTGATTGATGAGGAAGGTTGTGGGAGTAGAGGTGATGAAGCTGAAGAAGTTGGGAGAGAAGGAGTCTCGACTTGGATGGATAATGCACTAGTACGCATTGAGGAGTGGGTAGTAGTTGTAGTGTTCAATCGTAGTCAAAGGAGAGCCTAGAGTCGGGGAGCCAGGTGAGTGTGAACTGTTGGGGCTATCTGATGAAGGCATAAGCCTCATTGCCTCTAATATGGGTATTACATCTTCATTACTGGGCATGGGAAGCCTTAACTATGTTGGGGAAATAAACAGTCCACCCCTCAGGGTCCCTTTGAGGGGTAAGGGTTAAACAACTAAAACAGGGGAATGCCTATGGTTCTCTCAGCTATTCAGGACTAGCACAAAGTCAGCCTTTCATCCTTTCAGCACAGCTCTTTCACCTTAGGAAGTAGATAGTAAAAGGGGTTGGAGAAGGGACGGAAACGAAAGAGCTGGAGGGAGAAAAGACCATGCAAAATTAGTTGAGTTGGGGGCTAAGGCCCAAGGCAGGGGAGATCCCCACATTGGGTCTTAGTCCCCATCTCCTAAGCTCCCTCACAACAACAACAGGCAAAGGATTGGGGGTGAAGTATTCATGAAAAGAACTAGTTAGCTGGAAATGGACATACTCAGAAAATGAAAAAGTTGTGGTTGGAGGTTGCTCCATTGGACTGTAGCTTCCCAACCACAGTTTATCATTATTAATGTGGTTGCTGCTGTTATTATCATTATCAATATCATTATTATCGTTGGCATTATTATTTTTTAGTGCATTTGTATCAATGTTTTGATTATTATTGCATTATCATTATTATCATTGTGATATTGTGATTATTATTTCTATTTTTTTTTTCTTTACCCTATTGCAACATTATGATTATCATATATTATTATAGTCTTTGTTGTTACAGTTACAATCACCATTGTTACACTTACAAGAAACATAATTGGCGTTTATCATCATCATCATGATTATTAATTTCAACCTTATTAGTACATTGTTGTTATTAACATCATTACCATCTTTATAATTATCATCATTATGTCATTATTATTTGCCCTTTTCATTGTCATTATTGTCAAAATGTTTACGTGACACCGTCTCTCCAAACCTCCTATCACTACGTCCAAAATGACTGTTTTCATAGACATGTTTTCCACAGTCAAATACATCTGTTAGCGTTGTTCCTGTTAAATTTAACAGTGAACATTTGAAGTTCTGTATACATGCTTAGGATGCCATAAAAATATAATCATATCACTGTTATTCAAATCACAAATACTGAGTTAACATAAATATATAAAATTGATTATAATAGAAATGAGAACTTTTAATTCTCAGTGTTTCCAATGTTTTACACTCATTATCATTGTTAAAAGAACAGTAAAAGATTTAAACTTTATAGCAACTCCTTTCTATTATCATATTTTATAAATTCATGTACACTTTTAGTTTCACGTCTCTTTTACCTGCCTTGCAAAATTGGTTAGGGTGCTAAGGCTCAAGATAGGGGGTTGAGGGTCAACTAGACATGGGAATACCATGCCCATATGTCCCTGATACTGTTCAGGAGCGATATTTCATCCTTGACCTTAAGCTAAGGTCACACTAGTCTTCTCTGTCCTGGGACCCCTAGACATTCTCACCTAAGTCTGACCAGCTACAGCTTCTGATTGGTCAGCTGACCTGGCTTCAGCGAGGCTGTCTAGGGATCCCAGGACAGAGAAAACTAGTATGACCCTAGCTTTAGAGGCTGAATAGAAGGGGTCAGAGAAGAGAAGAAAAAGGAAAGGAAGAGAAGAAAAGGCCATGCAAAATTGGTTGACCCAAGAACCGAGACCCAAGGCAGGAAGATTCCTAACATTGGGCCCCAGCTCCTATCTTCTATACCCCTCACAACAGTCATGGGATTGGAGGGAGGAATATTAAAAGTAACTATTTGGTTGATAGTTTATTGATAACAATATTTGGAAATCTATAAAACTCAAGATGAATCGTTATTATTTTTTCTGTATTTCTTTACTTATACATACAAACTTGCATGGAATCTTCAATACCTTCATATTTCATATTTCTATTTTCACATATACTCCAGTTCCAAGTAACAGCTTGAATGTGAGCTTTCCAATCATTATTAAATAACTGTTACCTCTGTCTTAGATAACTATATAAATAATATTGGTCATTCTAAACAGAAAACACCCATCTGACCTACAATATTTGTGTAGTAAGTGATTGTACTGCCATAAAATGAAGCAGGTATCATGAATACAGTAAACAAATATAACAATGTGCATCTGTAAACATAAAAAGTTTCCCAGAAAAATCAACTGGTATTATGTTTAAAAATGGGGGTTAAATGAAGTTTCTTTGAAATAATTCAAAACTTGGACTCAAAATATCAAATTACATATCAAGTAACATCCAAAATCAGAAATAGAAGCAACATTGCTATTAACAGTTGTTAAAGAAGCAGCATATTAAAAATTAAAAACATTGTAAGCAATGCAACACAAAAAAATTTCACTAAAAAGAAAACTGAAATAAGGTATCCATAATCACTCACACTAAAGCTCATTATCGTCGTCTGGTTGACTTTTTCCCCTTATCATTAAGCCAGTCATACAGGTTCTTCGATGTGACACTTACACTATACTGCGTCTGCATGAACTTGCAGGTAAAAGCAATACGACTAGCTTCTGAGAGACTGGAATCCAATGATCGGAAGAAAGTCAGTGTTGTCTCCTGATGTTTGCTTTCTGGTAATTCATAATTGGTGACTTCTGTACTGACTGAACGGCCCTTCTTCTGAACCCATTGATACAACGTCTTGGAGGAAAATTCTCTTGAATACTTCATGGAAACATATCTGTTTAAAGAAAAAATGAACAGAATTTAGGAAAACTATAAATAAAACACATTATCTGATACTCAATCTCAATTAATGTTCTTAAATTTCTTAATAATCACTTTAAACAAAATTTGCAAATATCATCTACATTATTATATCCAGTAGGCTACCTAATGTAAAATAAGTACCTAACCTAGAAGTATTTCACATCAATTATGAAAATACAATTATATTTTCACATGACAGTAAATAACAAACAACCTCTTTAGACTCCCTCATCTCTCCTGAACAGTTTTATAACTACACCTACTTGCATGTTAGAGCAATACGTGACTGCTCTGTTTGTGATGGGTTAAGGTTATCAAAGAAGTACAGGATGTCTTCTTTCTGCTCTTCTGGCCAATCTGGGACCATGCTCTTCCGTGCTGTGCTCTTCCGTCCACTGGTCTTGACCTGAGGTCTGAAAAGTAATGATTAAGGTGAACAGAACCATAAAAAAAGAGTAAAAAAATGAGAAAAAAAGTATTAGAACTTCTGTGTTCATTTCCCAAAATCATCTCTGAAGTCAAACATTCGACTGTGAAAAGAAAGTAACCGCTACAGCAATATTACATAAAATACGATGATAAAGCAGCTCTCCTTCCTTGCAATGGTTAACCCATTCGTTCCGGGTGTCACATATATGAGACACCGGAAAAAATAAACATTGCCAGGCGTCCCACCAGTGTGACGCTGTATCAGGGCTGCGCTCCGACACAGCAGCGGCGCGCGGCTGGGTGGGCGGACAGACTCCGGGGAAGCTCCGCCCGCCGATTTTTGTAGCCGCCTGGATTTTTTTATTTTGGCTACAAAATGTTCCCGGCGTGAGTGGGTTAATGGTTTAAAAAGCAAGTTAAATGTGCTAGACTTCAAAGGTCATATAGCAATAATGGAAGGCAAAGTATCTTAACAGAGGGGGTGAGTTAAGGGAGATGTCACGCTGAATTTTCTATGAATATTTTCAAAAATACTCGAAAATTTGAAAAAAAAAAAAAAAAAAAAAAAAAAAAAAAACTTCTGTCATCCAGTAGGCTTTGGCAATCCAATGACGTAATATTTCTGCTAAATATGTAAAAAATAAAGGACTTCTGACTAAAACTCTGCCCCTCCCCCCACCTCCAGCTACAATGTTTACTTTAACACGTCCGTGCAAATATACTCTACAATTTTTTTTTTTTTTTTTTTTTTTTCCTTTTTTTTTTTATTATGGTAATCAATATATTTTGGTATTCTCTGTTAGCTAGCTGGCAATTCTGCTTTCTCCATCATCCAATAGCCAAGGCTGCACTTCGACAATCATGTGCAGTTAGTGCCATTAGTACCTTGCAAAAGGGGGGGACTAAGTACCAGCTACACTTCAGAACATGATGTAAATGCCATATAATGCATCAAGATTGACAAAGAGATCAGAATTTTGAAAAAAAATGTGGAGGAAAAAGTATCCTCTACTTCAAAGTCCGATATCTCAAAACTACACCTTTGTCAACTTTTTCATTATTCCCCATACCTACTCGGGCAATTCTAATGGGGTTGGGACCATTTGAAAACTGAATAAATTTGCAATTTTTTGTACAAAGCAATTCTCATTTTAGGAGATAGAAGTCCATAGTTTATATTTTATATTCATAAGAGTGAACATTAAAAAAAAAAAAAAAAAAAAAAAAAATCCTACTCAACTAAGAGAAAATTCCAAAATCCATCTGTACAAGATTTAGGTATTGCTATAGAGTATATGTGGTATTTTTTTCAAGTTCAGTCAATGGATAAGTGCAAAGAGAGAAATTTTGTGATTTTCAAAAACTTTTTTTTTAAGAACTTCATTGTTTATTATCCAAATGATACGAAACTTGGTTGTGTAATTCTCAGTATATGTATATATAACATTAAAAAATCCAATAATTCGTTCTAGAACGTAACACCCCCTTAAAGATGATGGCCAGTGCTTAGCAGGGTGGTCAAAACACCAACATTTCTGACACTGACGGGAGAGTAGTCCATATGGTCAGACCAACATAAGTTTCATGGGGAGGTCATCTCAGAGGGTAATCTTGGCAACATCTTGTAGGAGTTTCAGAAGCCTCTGGGGGGGAATAGTGTAACACTGTATTGATACTGAATCATAGACAAACAGGCAGGCAAGCAGGTTGTTTTCACAATCTGACCAATCCTTGTCATAGACTGTACAATCAGCTGGAGAGATGAAAACAGTTCTGGCACAAGTATTCAGGGAGGAGTGAGGATGGGCAGGAATAGATTTAAGTCAGATTAGTCAGGATAAATAATGCATGAGCTTGGGTCTATTACAACTGAAATATTGATAACCATTGTGTCTTTATCAATAGTATAACTTTTTTCATAAGTTTAAACCTTTTTTTAAATTTTGAAATATGTGCTTTGGTGTGCATTTTTTCTTTCTTTCTTACCACAGGATTTAAATGAAATTGGCTTTAGAAGTTTTTCATCTAATTCATAATTTTTCAGCTTTTGCTCCTGGTCTAGCACTATTGTTGTAAAATCTTAACAATTTTTGCAGGATAAAAATCTAGTGTAATAGTTTTAAAAATTCCAGAACCCTAAGTAAACCTCTCATTCATTCTCAAATTTAATACAGCTAACTTATCAACAAATTCATCATGCTAATGACAATTATTCTGCAATTATCTGCCAATAACTGAAAGAGAAGTTATCCTTTTTTTCTACCTGTTAAACACAGATGGCATGATTTCATCTCATTTAGTTAAAAACTCCAGCTTGAAACAATAAGGTGTCTTAAGCTATTACACCAAAAGAGCCAGGCAGAAATGGGACACTACCTACACACCATTATCCTTTCCACACTAACCGTCAATACTGCCCACAAGCCAATCTTTAATACTACAGTCGAAGCAAGAATGAAAGGGTAAAAAGCAGAAGTTAAAAAAAGAAAAAAAGAAGAAGAAAAAAAAATCATTACCTGAACTCACCTTTAACAATACATCAATTCCCATTTAACCCAATGCTACTGGGTAAAGAAATTTGGTAAATGGACATAATAACCGGATTGTTGGTATGCAACGGCAGTTTCCCATTTGTGCCCAGTTCATCCGGTAGTTTGCGAGCGACATTTGGCACCTAAAAGCTTTTATTTTGCTATAATTTATAAAAATATCATAATTTTGAAAGTTTGCCTTCATAATAGGTGCTATTGCCTAAAATCCTTTCCATATAAATGAAGCCACTGCTATCGGAGAAAAACAAACTCCGTCAGATGAGCCAATGGCGTAGGAATGGTCATAATACGATGCCATCTTTTTTTCAGTCCACAACAACCATGGCATGTGCGTACATATCACTCGGCAGCTAGTGTTTAAAATACGTTATCTTCATTGATTCAATATATTTGCTTAACCCATTACCGCCAGTGTATTTTGAAGCCGAAAATAAAAGATTCCGGGCGGCTACAAAATCGGTGCGCAGGGCTGGCCCAGACTCTGCCCGCGCACCAGCCCGCCGCTGCGTCAGAGCGCGAGCCCCAATACAGCACCCAGCAATGTTTACATTTTTGGGTGTCTCATATGTGGGACACCCGTCGTTACTGGGTTAAAGTTGACCAGGCTTACATTATCAAGTGTATAACAAAAAATTTTAACTTCACTCATTCACTGAATGATGAATGCTTCTTTATGAAATATTAAACATACAAGTGCTACAATATTAAATTCCTACAGTTCTTGAACAGAAGACAGTAGTCAAAAAAATAAAAAAAATTTGCTCACTTGTCAAAACCAAAGGTGAAGTCCTCTGGCATGGTGTCTTCTTTACTTATGGGAGCTGCTGGTTCTTCAACCTCCATTGATTTTGACTTTTTAGGAGACACATTTTGTCTCTCAGAGAATGACCTTTTTGGTGATGGATTTTGTACTGCTCTGGGTGAAGTCTTTTGCACAACAGACTCTGCACTGTTAACCAAGATGTCCTGCGAATATAAAACATGTTGAAATTATGATGCACAATAATGGAACTCAAATACAATACTTGGAAAAAATTAAATTTCTCATCAACATTCATCATCATCATTGCGGAGCTAACGCCGACGGGTGCGCATAGCCACGTCCACCCTTTGCTTGTACCTGCGAGGATCCCTCATGGCAAGTCGCCAGGGAGGGACTCGGCCCATCTAAAGCTACTCACGACAGGTTTGATCAATCTGCCCAAGCCACGACTTCTTAGGTCGACCCACAGGCCTCCTCCACCCAGGGTTGTCTTGAACAGAGACAACCTGGTGGGCGGGATCATCCTGAGGAAAGCGAGCCAGGTGGCCGTATAGCCTGAGTTGGCGATCACGGATTGTGCAGGTAATAGGTCCTGTGCCAGTCTCACGGTGTAGCCGTTGGTTGGACACATGGTCCCGCCAACAGTACCCCATGATCCGGCACAAGGACCTATTACAAAAGGCATCAAGTCGAGACTCCAAAGCGCAGGATAGTGTCCAGGTTTCACTACCGTATAGCAAGACACGAAGCTTGGTCCTTCTGCACAGGTACCGGCATCTCCAAATACTCTTATCGAGAGAGTTCATGACCCCTGCTGCCAGGCCAATCCGTCTACTGACTTCATGGTCTGACAGCCCAGAGTTACGAACTAAACTGCCAAGGTATGTAAAGCTCTCTGTGACTTCAATGTCCTTGCCGCAAGCACATACTGACTGAACAGGTTCTCCTAATATATCCCCAAAGTCCTGGATCTTGGTCTTGGTCCAGGAGACCTCTAGACCCAAGGGCTTCACTTCATTACTAAATGCATTGAGAGCCACCACTTAGGATTCCAAAGACTCAGATAGAATGGCAACATCATCAGTAAAGTCAAGGTCGGTAAACTTGATATTGCCCAGAGTTGCTCCACAATGACTTCAAACAGTGGCTCGGCCCAGTATCCAGTCCATGCAAGTGTTGAAAAGCGTTGGTGCAAGGACACAGCCTTGCCTCACTCCTGAACTAACAAGGAAGAAGCTTGACAGGCCCCCACCACACTTTACAGCACTTTCAGTACCAGTATACAGACTTGCTATTAGTCCAATAATCCTTGTTGGAATTCCTCTCAGTCTCAAGATCTCCCAGAGTGATTCCTGTATCAAATGCCTTCTTGAGGTCGATGTAGGCTGCGAGCAGCCCACGCCCAAACTCACATCGACGCTTTATAATGACTCGAAGCACTAGGGTACGGTCTATTGTTGACTTACCAGGATAGAATCCAGATTGCTCTAGTCTCTGATGCCTCAGTAGGTGATCTCTGATACGTCTCAGAAGGATGTGGGCAAGAATCTTGCCTGGTATACTGAGCAGTATGATGCCTCGGTGGTTGCTGCAGTCCCATCGGTCCCCCTTCCCCTTTCAGAGAGGGATGACCACACCCCTCAACAGGTCAGGGGGAACAGTACCAGACTGCCAGATGGCAGCCAGGACAACATGCAACCCCCGCGCCATAGGTTCACCACCAGCCTTTAACAGTTCAGCTGGGATGCCGCATATACCAGCTGCTTTACCACTCTTCAGCTTGGAGATCGCCCTCCTAATTTCAGTTAGGGATGGGGCATCCTCACTGATGGGTGGGTCCGGCAACGGAATCTCGGCAATACCCGCATCCAAGTTAAATGTTGGTGGGTCAACCTGGTACAACTGCTCAAAATACTCAGCCCAACATTCCTGCACCGCAACAGGATATGAGATGATCTGACCACTTACTGAGCGAACTGCTGTCACCTGTGAAGTGGGCTTGGAGTTCAGCTTTCTTAGGGCTTGGTATGCAGAACGAAGGTCATTTACTAAGAAATGGCCTTCTATCTCCTCAGCAAGGTTCCTAATAAACTGTTCCTTGTCCCTTTTTAACAAAGACTGAGTTCTGCGCACCTGAGAACGGTGCAAATCTCAATCACCTGCCAGACGAGCCGCACGACAAGCATCTGTGGCATCCAGTGTCTCCTGCGAGATGAATTTTCGCCTTGCTCTCGGGCATTCACCAATCATCTCTTGAGCTGCATCAAGTGTTTCATGCTTGAAGGTGTACCACAGAAGTACAGGGTCCATCAGATTTTCGAGCGCTGTGAAATGACCAGAGACTGCCTCAGCAAACCCCTGGGTACATTCCCCCTCCCTCAGCCTGTCCAAGTGAAACACCCTGGGGTGGTCATTGGTCCGCTGGGGGGTTTTGAAATGGACTCGGAGGGTAGCCACAACCAATCTATGGTCAGTACTACAGAACTCAGCACTCCTATACACCCTGCAATTGTGGAGGATCCTCCAACAAGTGCTAACGAATATGTGGTCGATATCTTTGGTTGCATTTCCTGCATCACTGTACCATGTCCAGCGATGTGGGTCTGGGCGTTGGTACCAGGAGTCAGAAATCCTCAATTTCTGGGACCTTGCAAAGTCTCGGAAAAGGAGGCTATTCTCGCTGCCGGTATCAGCTCCCGAACCATGGGGACTGACAGACATCTCATAGCCAGCTCGATCACAGCCAGATACCACATTGAAGTCACCCAGGACAACACAAATATCTCTCCGGGGGCACCTGTCTGACACAGACACTAGTTTGGCATAGAACATCTCTTTCACATCAAGTTTACAAACATCGGTAGGAGTGTACACAGCAATAAGAGACATGAAGCCAAAGGACAGCTTCAGTCTCATTACCATTATACGCTCATCTACTGGAGTAACCTCTACTACCGAGGGCTGGAGTTTGCTGGAGATGGCAATGGCTACCCCTGGAGATGGTGACCGTTGCTGCGGCCTGACCAGTAGTAAGTGTAGCCACCTACACTAATCGTTCCGCTGCCAGGTCTTCTCACCTCCGAGAGAGTAGCCACCTCCACTCCCAGCTTCCCCAGTTCTCTCGACAGCAGAAGCAACCGATCATCCTGACACAAAGAATGGATGTTCCAAGCCCCCACCCTGACTCCCCGCCTGAGGTTTAGCCTCGGGCAGTCACTCCGGGTGGGAGCCACCTCTGCCACCCCCGCCAACGCTGCTCCACATATAAGGGGACGGCAGGCTGTAGAACCCGTCATCCACCTACGGGGCTCCTGAAGGCTTTCCCCCGTAAGCTTTACTCTGGGCTGGCGTCTACCGGAACGCAGACGGAATGAGTAGCTCTCGCTCTCGTCCTGCGTTCCGGAAGTCTCCCTCCCAGTGGGATCCACAGCCTGCCTCTCTTGCTGGGTGGGAGGAGCACTTCCCCTCCTCCCAGCATTTCCATACATATAAAACACTGCCAGTGTTTTTTTATCTGGGGGGAGGAGGGCTGGCAAGGCCCACCTCCCCCAATATTGCAGTGAAACAACTAATCTAAAGATACTCCTAATGGGAATTTCTAACTGCATATACTGTCACAATCCAAAATTTCTGAATCCTCATCCTCTCCTGCCCTGTGTGCCAGCCTACAAGACAGGTTACAAGAGGTAGGTTGGTATGTAGGGAGGAAGGGTCTGCGAGGAGGGGCATTTTGATGAAAGTCTCATCCACTAGCTTACAAAATAATATAACAGCACATTATATAATGATCGCATATTTCCTGTATAGTTTATAAGAAAATAAAACACTGTGTCTATACAATCTATGATTGTCCTTTCTGCTAGTGTGGATAGTATTGGCACATTCCCAAGGGTGGGTCTCAAAGAGTATATTTTGCATTCTTAAGTGGGTTAATGCATGAAATGAACACTTAAGAATTGCTGTTCTTGATTCACGATGATCTATTGAACAGTTTGAGACCAATTTGAAAAATGTACTCAAATTGTGAATTAACACTCACCTTGCCAGGGACGGGGTCAATGAGTATATTTTGCATTCTTAACCCAATGTCAACGGAAAAATAGTGCTTTCCCTTTGGCAATAATTGGTTAAATGTTTCTACACATAGATGGCTCTGCCAATGCTTAGCCACAAAGGAGTCATTTAGTAGATCTTGCAACCTAACTTTTCCTTGAAAAAGCAGGAAAAATGTTTTTTTTAATAATGCAATCAATATTGACATTGTTATTTTTGTTATAAACATTATAATTACTATATTGTTACTGACATTACTAACAGCAATATTATCTATTAGAAAATATTATCAAAAATCAAGGAAAAGGATTAACAGGTTAGCCAGGTAATTTGCGTAATTGGCTCATCGGTGGCAGTACTTGTGGAGCCATTTATATGTAAAAACAATTACTAAATTCAACACACACTATGGGCAATGGCATGTAGGTGCATGCCATGCCCGGCGGCTTGGGGTTTAATGGACCGTCAAGGTTAATGACCACCTTTCCCTATTCATTACATCATGAAAAAATTTCAGTTAGAGATAACTGTTAGAGAGTATAGAATTGCACTTTGTTTCATATATAATTTTAACCTCACTCCCCTATAGGAAGGGGGGTACCCCCTAAAAAGTCGAAAAAATCGATTTTTTTTTCTTCGTCTTCGGTACATCCTAACTACCACAGTTCTTTACTGAATAGTCCCCCAATAATGCTTGTGTTAGATCAACCCTAGCCTAAGCCCGTGTAATTGGCTGATTTTTTAATTTCCTTTTTTTTTTTGGCATGGGAATGTTTGACATAGAGTACTATTTTTGGTTTGCTTTCTCCAGCATTAAAAAATCTATATTTTTTTATTAAGGCAAAAATGTAAAAATCAGCCAATTACACGGCCTTAGGACTGCGAGGCTCTAGTGAAAGCAACAAATTGCATTTGAATCGCACGAAAATTACGAGAGTTAGGATGTCCCGAAGGTTATCTAAACAAAGAACGGAGATACAGCGAATTATATTTGGCACCTTGCCAAAGTTTTTTATCTCTTATTTTTCTCTGAATCTAATGATATTATAAATAAAAAAAATGCTTATTTAGTGTACTTTGTACTATTTTCAATAGGGACGCTATTCTGTAGAGGTATGTAATTTTTTTTTTGTTCGTTGTTCATAAAAGTAGATATTTTCGTCTGAAAAGTTTAATAAATGAATTTTACCAGAGACAACTAATCTAAACCAGATAAAAACCTTTTTTTAATTTTTTTATTTTTTTATTTTTCATTTTATTTATCTTTTTTTTTGTTTTCTTTCTTTTTTAAGAAATGGGGAACTGTGGATGGCAACATTAGTACAAAATCATCCTAATTATAAAGTCCTAGCATGAATACAACATAGTGGTTCAATTTTGAGAATTTTAAAAGTATATGAATTTAGTACATTGAATTCGAGAACTTACGGGGGGAGGGGGAGATGATCACTGGGTGTTTATAATTTTCGAGGAGGATCATATGTACGTGAACGCACACACATAAAGTTAAAAAGATTAATCATTTAGTAGGCCTACATTGACTTTCATATCTAAATAATAAAATAGATTAGTTATCCCTCTCATACCGTTTTCTTTGATAACTGTCAATTTTAACAGATTGCAAAGGAGAACAAGTTTAGAGTTGGTGATTAGCCATTTGCACCCATTATCTTTACAAAGAAGTGCATAAAATCATGCAGACGCCTAAGTGTTGTGGGATATTTGCAAATATATGGTACCTAAGACCTACGGACACGTCTAAACATATTAATTTTTATCCGGAACGCACAAAACAAATGCGATAGCTTTTTTAACTTTAGACGAAGAGTGCGCCCACAAACAAGCTCAAAATTCCATATAGATTTTAATTCAGAGCAGGTATTACGGAGTACTATCATCTTCAATATGAAATAATCTGTATCTCACTTATACATCCGAAGTTCAAAAATCTGACATTTAGGTAACTTTTGTAATGAATTGGTCTTTACAAGGGTAACTACCAATTTCAAATAAATTCAAATTTCCCCATGCTGTGATGTACCAACCGTTGAGTAAAATATAACGGAAATATTTCAATCCTTACTTAAAAGGCTATTTTTAAGCATTAGTGCTTCGTACGTGATATATGTAGATTACTTCGTAAACTAAAACACATTACCGGGGAGTCTCAATCGAAGCATATTTCGTGTGTAAAAGGACACAAAACTTACATTTTTTTTCTATATATTTCACAAAATATTTTGTCATAAATCACAGTGATTTTTTTTTTTCTGATATTGGTATAAAAGTGTTCCTTGAACATTCACGGACTGATATCTATGCGCAATGTCATAATTAAATGCCGTATGCACGATTGCAGCAAGCAGAAGTCCACACAGGTGTACCTGGGTGCTCATTAGCGACGTACCTCCCCAGGTGCTGAGGAAGTCTCGCTTCAGCTGCAAGACAACGAGCCATAGGAGGGCCTTAATACTCGTCTGGCAGTTTCCTCATTCATGTACCTATACTATACGCTAGCTAACTCAATTTGACCCCCTGTCCCCCCCCTCATCTGGGACAGTCCCCTTAAGTGAGTTAATACATGAAATGGAAACTTGAGAATGACTGATCTTGATTTAGGATGACCAATGGTAAATGAGGAGTGTATCTGTGAGCCATACCAAGGAGAGCATCAGTTTAAGAGAGAGTATTATGTCCCACCATTATCACATGCACAGGCTGTATTATGGAAAATGATAATACAAAAATATTTCAAAAATAACTCAATAGAACTCCCTGATCATTCCAACACAAAGTGTAAATACCTGCAGATACAGATAATATGGAATGTTTAATGAAAACAGTTTGTAACCATCTGCCTGCAGCATAATTGACAAATATAAACCTCAGAAAATAACAAGACAGCAAAAATGCCTCTGCAAAAAAACACTAATGGCACTGCAAAGAGGAGGCTAGGAGTCTTGAAACTATATATGAGTATATGTGTTGGCTGGGCCTACAAACCACACACCTAGTAGAGTTGCCTCTCAAGTAAACCCAGTTCCCAAATCTTGGTCCTCATGCAAGTCACAAGGCACCTAGATCCAATGGGTTGATAAAAAAAAATCATAGTATAAGAATACTCACTGGATGATATTGTATCTCTGGTGTTTTCTTCATCTCTGGCTTAACCTTAAAAGATATTTCTGTGTCTTCTTCATCAGTGCTTGCTTCACTGGCCTCCTGGACACGAGCTGCAATGCTGCGCCTGCCTCGTTTTCCTCCCTTTGTAGTTGTGCTGTAAAGTTTCCATCATTATTAGTTTCTAGCATCACTTATCAAAAGAAAGTAAAATTGATTACAAAGCTTACCAGTTATTACTATAATATCTAAATAAATAACCTCACTTACATATAAACACTGATATCTTTTAATCAAATAAAATCCCAGAAACAGAATTACAACAATCATATTCAAGCAATTCACGAGCCAACTGATGTCCTACTAGGTCATGGCAAAAATTTCACTAATGCTAGGCAAACTTGGGTCCCAGCAGCCGAGATGATAGGAAAAGGAGTGGAAAGCACTAACATATCCCAAGCCTTGCCAACCTTTATTTGCAATATTATTTGTCATGAATGGGTTAAAAACTGCTGACAACAATTCAACCTTGTTAGAGCATACTTTAACAGCATGTAGCTTAAAAAAGTATAAAATAAAAACACATCTTTGGGATAATGTTAGAGAGGTGCGTAATTTGTTTGTTTGTTTTTTGCCATGTGACACAAATATTTCTAGTATAGGAGGGGAGTTAATAATCTACCATAATGTTAATGTGGTTGTCAGTCAATGATTTTATACATTATGCTCAGCCTGTGTGCCTGTCTGTAGTGTTCAATTGGCTGTATGTTATGATTTGGATACCTGCTTTGCTAACTCAGCCTTCAAACACTTTAAGCTAAAATAAGGTCATTTATAGAAAGTAAACCTGTAATACATTCCAATCAGTTCTTAAATTGTTAAAATGTAAACAATAAATTTATTATAAAAAAAAAAAAAAAAAAAAAGTAATGCAAACAGTGACACATAACAGTCCCAAAACACACATCCAAAGCAATATTTGATGAACACCAAAAGCTATAGTTCTATAATGTTAGTTCTGCAAAATCATCTTTAAACAGTCAGAAACTTCAGCAAACAATATCACATCTAATCTAAGATTTACATTATTAATGGTTGATGTTGACACATCAGGCCTCCCTCACCAAGGAGAGTTCGAGCACTCATGCAGCCAACTGCGTCAGCCCTAATGAGAAAATATTCAGTGAGGAGTTTGAAAAACAAGTTATACATACTGAAAAATCACTTAAATAACTCAATTCCCTCCTTACGCTGGATCTCAATTTCACACAAAACAACACTAACAAATTCTAGGCTAGTAGGTCTTAGATTTTTTTTTTTTTTTTTTTTTTTTTTTTTTTTTTTTTGCCATCTTAAGGAGGTCAGTGTTTGGAGATTTAATTATATATAATAGAGTTACTTCAATTATGCATTATATGGTGAACCTGATGATTATTGGCATTAAACAAATTCTTAATATGATCTCATTGGTAAATCCTAACAAGACACCCACACAGTTTTTCAAAATGCATTTTTTTCTCATATAGTGCCTCTTATCAAAATCCAATTGAATCTTGGTGGGCAACTGTTGAAGGACAGCATGGAAGAAAAATGATCTCTGCATTGAGCATTTCAAGGAAGATCAATTTATATCCCCAACATATATAGAAGACAAAGCTTGGAGTGGTTCCATATCTGGTGATAAGGAAGGTTGATAAAAGAGGGTAACAAGCTTTGTCTTGCCAAAACATACATGTTTACCTTTGCCGTAGTATGAAGTGCAGAGACCACAGCATTACTGGACTTACAGCACAAGCGCGGATTTGTGGTCTATGATAAGCAATCATGGCCTTCTACTTCCATGTCTAATAGTGTTGGTTTAAGGTGCTCTTTAAAGGCATTTCCTTACTTTTTTCTAGCTTCACACAGTCCCATTCCAAATATTTATCAGTTGTGTGATCTCTGATGGCCAAAAATCTTAACTTAATTCATCACAGCAACCTTTGCATCTGGCAATCCAGCGAAGGCTAGCAACTTTTACCATGAACATTCTGTCAAGACGGAACTTGTAGGTATCCCTGGCGATCTATCACCAAATGGAAAAATAGTCAAATGCCTGTTCCTAGAACGCATAAGGTTAGCTTTTGCTGGAAGGATAAGGCTATGACAATGACTTGAGGCACTGCAAGTATACTGTAATCAGTCACCCAAAAAGGTTAAAAGAAATGTATATACATAAAACAATAACCTTATAAACACACACATACCCACACAGAAACTTATGCATATATACAAGCACACCCACATACCCCCACACACCCACACCCACACGCATGCACACACGCGTACGCACGCACGCATGCACGCACACACACACACGCACACACACACGCGCACACACACACGCGCACACACACACGCGCACATACACACGCGCACACACACACACACACACCACACACACACACACACACACACACACACACAACACACACACACACCTAAAAATCAGCCATACTCATAATCAATGCCTTTCTGGAAAGATAACTGTTAAATCCAACTAATGTACAGTCAAATGACCTTTAATCAATAGGGAAAGTTCAGGGTTACCAACACGAGAAAACATTTAATTTCATTATCAGTAAATCAGCCATGATTGTAGATTCCTTATTTTTAGCCTCATAACAACTCTCCTACCTTAATCAAATTGAATGATACAAATTAATTTTTTGTAGAGACTGGACAGGTGTCAAAATTTCACTGTCAGCTCTTGGTACCAAATTAAAAAATGCCCAAAAGTAAATAGTAATAAATATATCTATATATACTAGATAGATAGATAGATAGATAGATAGATAGATAGATAGATAGATAGATAGATAGATAGACAGATAGATAGACAGATAGATAGACAGATAGATAGACAGATAGACAGATAGATAGACAGATAGATAGATAGATAGATAATGTATGTATAAATATATATACATATGACATCAGCCTACATATATGAAGGTACATATCTAGGCCTAACAGGGTTCTTGTGGGTATAAGCTGATGAAATTGAAGACCTTTTTATGACTTTTCAAGACCTGGAGCCACTTGTTAAATACATACTTCCCTGTAATGTGTATGCCTGCTTGTCAGATCAGTGACCAAGATAAAAATAAATTTACCCCAACATGACTTTTACACAGCCTCTTAGAGAAATTGCGTGCCAGAATAATAAACAGTCACATTGATTAGCAAAGATAGAAGGTCTAATGTTGACAAATGATTTCAGATCAAGAGAGATCTGAAAGTGAGTGAATCGGGATATATACATATATGTAGGCTGATGTGATATGTATATATATTTATACTTATGCAAACAAAAATATGTCTTTGGCAGATTTAAGACATTTAAAGACCTGCAACAGAAAAAGCTTCATTCAGTCGTAGTTATGGGTCAAAAATTACGAATTTTTCAAATTTTGTGTATGGACACGTGAGACTATGACGCACCCTGGGCACCCCATTGCCAGACCGGAAACGCGTTCCTTTCCATGGTTTAAAGGTCTCAGGTATTTAAATGCCCTCATGCTGCCACAACCCTTTTGCTGCATGCTTTGTTTTTTATGTATTTTCAGCATTTTTCGGCTGATTTTGCGATTTCTTTTGGTATGATAATGCTGCATGATAGCTTGGGCTGCATTCAGTGGGCAGGCAGCAGCAGGGACGTTAGGACAGTGCATTGATATCAACTTGTTGCTTGTGTTTATCCTTTTTTGTGCCTTGTTTTCAATTATAATGCCACCTGTAGGTGCGAAGAGGAAGGCATTCCTTGAAACCAAACGACTGAATGCCCTGAAAAGGTGGAAAAAAGACGATGTGGAGGAGCTGCACCCAGATTCTGATGGCGCGCGTCAGCCACCACCACGTGCCTCAACTTCCTCTCCACCACCATGTGCCTCAGCCACAACCTTCCCTCCACCACATGCAGCCAACATGTCTTCAGCTGCATTTAGACACAGCTTATTGCAGCAAGAGAAGAGAGAGAGCATCAGTATTAGTAAGGATAGTACTATGGTAGTTTTTTCGTTACGTAGGTTGCAGTCATTACTCAACCTTATAAAGTGTGAGTGTGGTACCAGTGTTACAACGGAAATAACAACTGATTACTTTGATTGCCATGTAAACCTTAGGTGTGATGAGTGCAAGAAAGTTGTACACTATTCAGAGCCGAAGAAATGCCAGAGGAGTGACCTAACGGAGGGTAATATTGCTCATGTGTTTCATTCTTTGTCAGAGGGATATGGGAGGGCAGGGCTGTCACGACTGTCTGCTGCCGTGGGATGCCAGGAAATGACCAATTACACCTTCAACCGACATGCACAGTTCATCTACCAAGAGATGAATGGATTCTATAAAGAACAAGAAAGTGTGGCTCAACAGTGTGTGGAAAAATTGTATGAAAAGGAAGAAAAAGGGAAAGACATTGATGGAAAACTGAACATTGATGTCAGTTTTGATGGTACGTGGCTCAGCAGAGGTTACAAATCACATATAGGAGCAGGTTTTGTAATAGACTTATCATCTGGGATAGTGGTAGACTACAAAATTTTGAGCAATTATTGCAATGCATGTGCAAGTATGAAGAAAAAGAAAGATGAAGAAAATTTTGAACAATGGAGACAAACAGTACATGCAGAGACGTGCCAAGCAAACTTTTCTGGATTGTCAGGAGCGATGGAGGCAGAAACAGCAGTCAGAATTTGGGGAAGGAGTGAAGAGAAAGGGTTCAGGTACCTAACTTTCCTGAGCGATGGTGACTCAAGTGCTTACAAAGCAGTGACTAATATGAACAATGGAAAGGGTCCATACTGTAACCATAGTGTTGATAAGGAAGAATGTGTCAATCATGTTCAGAAGAGAATAGGCACCAGATTACGAAAATTAAAAGATGAACTGAAAGAAGAAAAAACTACAAAAACTGGAAAAGTGATAAGAAAAAGCATGGTTGGTGGAAGGCATCAGCTAACAGACAGACAAATAGATGCTTTCCAGAGATACTATGGGAAGGCCATAAGGGACAGTGTGGGAACGGATGTACTGACCATGAAGCTGAAAGTAATGTCTGGTTTTTGGCATGCTATATCACGTAACACATCACTTACACTGTGACAACCTCTTCATTCAAGCAATCTAAGGATGAAGGAAAGCCTCTTCCCCCACATGATAATATGAAAAACTATATCAGACTAGAAAAAAAATATGAGAACAGAGTAAGAGAAGTTTACTACGACCTTTCAAACCCAGCTCTTCTTGAAAGATGCCTCAGGGGAGAGAACCAAAATAGAAATGAAGGTCTGCATTCAAAACTTTGGTGTCATCAAAGCAAAGCAAAGTTTGCTGGCCACAAGAGAGTGACCTTCGTGACGCAACTGACCATCATAGACCATAACTTTGGGTACGAGGCCAATCACTTCCTTGCATATCTTAGGTTTTCATTTACATATAACAGTGTAGTAGCAAGGAAGAGGATGGACAAAAGGAAAGAAACACCACCTAAAAGGAAACGGAATAAAAAGCACCTAGTGTCACCTGGCCCTGTTTACCAACCTGGTAACTTTTGACGTCACTGACTGTTGCTGGCAACAATGAGGTGGGTGGGCTCCACTGATACCCAGTCAATATGTCATTTATGTATCAGAAATGCATAACATATTTCATGATTTATTATGTACTCTGATATGTAAATGACAGGGGACCAGGAGCCTTGACATCTAAAAGTATACTAGGCAAGGGAAAACACTCCCACCACAGGGGCTACACAGGTGACATAAAGATGATCTAAAATTACCTGAACAAGGCCTAACCCTCTACCACAGGACTTCTAGTGAAGGCCAAGTGATTGTGTAAGTAGATATTTACATTTGGAAATAATTGGCACAACCTGTATGGTGTAATGAAGATGAATGACAAAAACTGCCGTTTTCTCAAAATCATATTTTCCCGGTTAAAGTAAGGTTAACTTTGTATGTAATCACGCGATTTTAATAATTTTTGTTGCAAAATGATCGTCCAGTGCATATCTACTAATTGTAGCAAAGTCATGCATTATTTCCACCAAATACATTTTTTACGGAATATTTAAGGGCTATTTTCTGACGAAAAAAAAATAACTTTTTTGCAAGGTAACTGAAACATTTACGTTTCAGATAGATTTACATAAATGCTACAGTTGGTACTCCTATCTATTGACTAACTCTGGCCAGAAGGAAAGTGCAGTACTATTCATTAAAAGGAAACCATCACATAATTTTCGAATTATATTATCTCGCTCATTTTTTTTTTTTTTTTTTTTTTTTTTTTGCGCAAAAACTTACACAGCTTTTTAAAATCTAATTTCTTGTTTACTAGCATCACATACCCATGCACATTGTGTAAATAAATGATTCACCTAGCTTAAAAATTAAAGCAAGCAGGATCGGAAAACGAATTTCGTGATCGTACCGACGATTCTTCCCCTTAAGACATATCAACCCAGTTATGACAGGAGTCACACATATGAGACACCCGGAAAAATAAACATTACCGGGTGTCCCACCGGTGCGACACTAGATTGGAGATTGTGCTCTGATGTGGCGGGTGGCATTTGGGTAGCTTCCCAGACTCACCCACATACCGATTTTGAAACAGCCCAGAAAGTATTATTTTTGGCTTGAAAATGTAACGTCGCTACTGGGTTAAGACTTTTTAAGGATGCGCCCCAAACTTACACTTGCTTATATTGCTATACATTTATACGAGCAAAATATATATTCGTATATAAGCATATGTTCATAATTGTAATTTCTCCAATCTGGAACAGGATATCAGCAAGAACTATGGGGGAAAGTATTGGCAAATACAGCCTCCTGAAACCTTTCCTGTACAATAAGTGTTAAAAGACAAACCTGGATGTTGGTCACAAAGTGACTATGGATATGGATATATATGAGCAATACTTACACTAATCATATTAGCATTACCATTTCACATTTACCTGGTGCTCTTTGAGGTCGTGGTGGTTGTGGTGACTTGCCTCTTGGTCTCCTTTAACACAACTGGCTGAACTGGCTCAACAACTGGCAATGGCTCTGGCTCTTTTATGTTGTTGATGAGTGATGACAACGGTGTCCTTGGTACACAATCTGAAAGTGTTTATAATTATGTAAGAATATATTAATCTCCATGGCTTTCAGATGAATACAATAAAAATATTTTTAGCAAAACATTGGTAAATGTAAATAAAACACGTGCACATCTGTTATGCCTACGACTCCACTTCCCAAGCTAGTTGTCATTAAATAAAAAAAACAATCTAAGCTCTCTCTTTACAAAATTTACATCATGAAGGCCTGATTCAGTATCAAATGGATTTAGGCAGAACATGGCTTATTTCATTAGAAAAAAAAAAAGTCATTTTGAAAGCTACTGTGGGCATCTTGTAAACATTTACCAAAGCATCTACTTATTCACTCATTAAAAATGAACAGACAAATTCAATAATGATACATATCTACTGACAAAATCTTTTAAGTTCAATCAGTACATTAAAAGTTCATGATGATGCACACACTGTCATATCCTTCCTTTG